TACTTTCGCAAGGCACTGTATAGACCTATATCGTAGGAATCACTCCATTAACTTTGTTATGCAGATGTTCCCCAATTATATTGATCAAGCTGATGAAATTATATTGATGAAATTAATCATTTAGTTAAATTACAAGCATGCCATAAGGACATAAAAACATGGATGTCGTGCAATTTTCTGTCCTTCAAAGTTCTTGTACTTGGCCCCAAACACCTCCGAAACTTTATCTGAAGATATAATTACTCTAGATGGCATTACTTTGGCCTCCAGCACCACATTCAGGAATCTTGGAGTTCTCTTTTATCAGGATATTTCCTTAAATACATCATGTCACAAAACCATGCAAAAAAAACTAGCCCATGAATTTGTTACGTCTAGGCTGGAATACTGCAATTACTTATTATCAGGCTGCCCCAATAAGTCCCTTAACACTCTCTAGTTGATCCAGAATGCTTAAGAACATGTACTGGCAGGGACTAGGAAAAATATGGGACCATTATTGTAGTAGAACTATGTACAAATGTGAGTGGAGAGTTGTGCAACTGTATCTCAACCTGTATGTGCATAATCAGTTATGTAAATGTGTAAAAGAATATATAAATATGTAGAGATTTGTGTACAGGAATCTGCAAATGAGTATTCAGAATCTGTGTGCGTAATTAGATTTGCAAATATATACAAATCTGTTTACAGATTTGCAAGTGCATTGAGATTTGTAATGTGTAGACAAATCTAGGTATGAAACTCAGTCATCAACAGAAACAGAAACAGCTGTGTAGAAGGCTTAAAACAGGGTAAGGAACAGCCTAACTCTGCTACCAAGGTGAGGTTGTGGGAGACAGTTTCATGTCACAGGTCATACACCATTGCAAGACTGAGACAAATGCATCAGCAAGGTCTCTCCAAGACAAAGATTTCAAAGCAGACTGGGGTTTCAAGATGTGCTGTTCAAGCTCTTTTGAAGAAGCACAAAGAAACAAGCAAAATTGAGGATTGTATACGCTGTGGTTGGCCAAGGAAATATAGTACAGCAGATAAAAAACACATCAAGCTTATTTCCTTTTGAAATCGGATGATGTCTAGCAGTTCCATCAGCTCAGAACTGGCAGAAACCAGTGGGACCTAGGTACACCCATCTACTGTCTGGAGAAGTCTTGCCAGAAGAGGTCTTCATGAAAGAGTTGCAGCCAAAAAGCCATACCTCCGACATGGAAACAAGGCCAAGCGACTCAACTATGCACAAAAACATAGGAACTGGGGTGCCCTGATCTCAACATTGAGTCTGTCTGGGATTACATGAAGAGACAGAAGGATTTGAGGAAGCCTACATCCACAGAAGATCTGTGGTTAGATCTAGATATGTTTGGAACAACCTACCAGCCAATTTTAGAGTCATAACTTAATGTACATCTTTTAAAAAAAAAAAAATGTATTTGGAAAACTACTTGAAAATCCATTCCACAATGGCTTTTTTCCCCGTTATTAATATTTTTTTTCCACCTAGCCAAGTAAGGAATTTGTGTGTCCTTCTGTTTAGGTGACCGGCCTGAAGGCTCTGTATGAGGCAGAGTTAGCTGATGCTCGACGGGTTTTGGATGAAACTGCTAAAGAGAGAGCGAGGCTTCAGATAGACTTGGGCAAGGCTCAGGCTGAACTGGAAGAAGCCACACGCAGGTAATTTGATATAGTACTCCCAATTATCACACATGTCACAATGTTTGAGATCATATTAATATGGGCACCAAGTAAACATTTGGAACCAGAGTCACTCGGAAGTGCAGGATCAATGGCCAATTTGAAGCAATAACTGTCTTCTTCTTCCTCTGTCCATGTGTTCCAGTGCCAAGAAGAAGGACAGTGAACTTGCAGCCGCAGTGTCCAGGGCCAGTGGTTTGGAAGGCCAGCTGAACAAGAGTGAAGCGGCTCTTGCTACAGCTCTAAGCCAGAATGCTGCTCTTACTTCTGAGCTGGCAGATGTCAAGAGCCTGCTGGCTAAGGTGCAAGGTTTTCCGTGTTCAAAGCAATTTCTTTGTGAGAGTTCTATTGGTTGCAATGGTGACAGTGTCAACGCGAGATTGTTTAGTAGAGCAATTTCCTAATCAATTAAGTGTAAATTAAATGGATATAAAGAAGCTGAACATTTCACATGTTAAAGGTTGTTTTTAAAATGGCCGCAGTGGGAAGATTTGTATATGTAGGATTTACACGTCATAAATATTTCCAGCTTTTCTTCTACAGCTTGCTGCTTGGATCAGTTAGTTAACTTTATGTTCGAAGTGTCCGTGTACTAAAATTTCTTATGGCATTTTGCGGTGTTTAGGCAGAGGACAGCCATGCTGTTGCTAAGCGCCAGCTGGAGGCAGAGACACTAATGCGCGTAGACTTGGAGAACCGCTGTCAATCACTGAGTGAAGAGCTGGAGTTCAGGAAGAGCATGTTTGAGGAGGTAAGGAGTATGTGTGATAAACAATGACAGGTGCGTAGGACTGCCACAAATAATTACTTCCATGATCAACTAATCTAGCAGTTTTCTTTCTTCAACTTTTTGTTCACATTTATGACTGCATGCTTAAGGACCTCTCATGGTTGTGGTGATTCACAATGTTTGAATGTTATTTACTGACTGCTGATTCCTCTTAAGTAGGCCACAAGTAATGAACAACTGCTAGGTTAAAAACAAAGTTTATCTAGTCGGTTGAAGGCCACATTTTAGCCTTTTTTGTAACCCAAAAACATCCATAGAAATGTTTGGTCTCATCTTGAACTATATCTCCAGATTAATTCCATACCCAGTATGTTATGATTCACTAAGATTAGGCACGATACAAAGTGATGAAATCCCACTCCCATCTTGACTATGGCAGCCGGAGCAAATTGCAAGTCACTGGCCGCTGCTGTATGTTCTCTATGCGTCTGTACGGTCGCCATATTGTATACAAAATTGGCTGTTGCTCACTTAATTCTGAACTGATTTTCTTTGTTATAAACGTGAGAAGACGATACTGGAATTAAACTTACTTACTGGGAGTGGGTCTCATCAGTTCTTTGCCAAAATATTACCTTTCTGAATGGCCACAATTTCCACTTGGACATGCAGCCTCTGATCTTTGAATTGGCAAGTGTAAATTATTTTGAGTTCTTTCAAAAATACAGCTTTCTATTATATTCTTATAAAGCCGCCTGTTTGTTTGTAATATTCTAAATAAATAATAGCATTAAAGCTTCTAATTAAATAGAGAAGCTCGTCCAAAGAATTTACCCATGTATTGTTTCCTCATTAAGTTTATACAGTTAGGTGAGTATCTATATAAGAAAACATACTATACTATACAAAAAAACTTTTGAAAACTTTGCATCTGGCATTTGTGGTTTTTAGTGGTTAAACCATATGTGTAGTTAGGTCTGTCACAATAACTACTTCTGTTGGACAATATACTGTCCCAGGAATAACTGCGTTAAAAATATTTTTGCCATTTTGACACAATTTCATATATCATAATTAAACCCTTACCAATATCAATGGTCTTTTAATTCTTAAGAATATTCGGTCATTGGAATTGTAATGTGAAAAAATATTAAAATATCCTAAATAAATACAAATAATAAAGTTTGTAAAACTGGATGGAATAGATACTTTTTGTTGCCACTGTTTTTAAACAAAGCCCATGTTAATGGACTCCAGTGTTTACCCTACTTATTGCCTCGGAGCGTGGAGGAAATTGACGAGAATTGATCATTGTTATTGGGTGAGTACAATATATGCCCCGATTAATCGAATTAAGTGACCTGCCACAGTTGCAGGTGAGGGGAAAAAATATTTTTAGACCATGCTGTCCACCCATAATGTGATGTCTAAGAATTTAAACTTTTTTGAGCTAAAACTAAAATCAAAGTCCATACCATAAGTAAAATATTTGTTGGCTATTGTTTCAATATATTTTAATGTTTTCTGTTCAAACCCATCATTTATCCTTCAGGTCACTATTGTGTTCTCTGCCATAAGCATTTCTACAATAAATGTTTGTGTGTGAGTATTTAGAATAGAATGCAATCACTAATAGTAACATGTGCCACCAAAGCAGAATAAATATCATTCCTGCACTGTTAAGATCATTCTATCTTTTATATTCTAAAAAGTACTTTTACATTACATTTTTATGCACCAACTTACCAAGGCAAATTCCTTGTACGTGTAAAAACTTAATTGGCAATAAACCCAATTCTGATTCTGATCTTTCTCCTTGTGTTCAGGAGGTGCGTGAGTCTCGGCGTCGACAGGAGCAGAGAATAGTGGAGGTGGACTCTGGAGTCAGACAGGACTTCGAGGTGAAACTAGCACAAGCTTTACAGGTAACTTAGGGGGTGAGATTACAGCAGCTGTCGTGTCTGTGGTAGGGCTGGACTATAGAAACGAATTATGTAAATATACAATATCAGTGACAGAAGAATGCAAATATGGGGTTCATATGAATATATTGATGAAAGAATGTATTTCCCTCAGCACATTGCAAATGTGTTTTGAAATTTTAAACCTGTCTTTGGGCAGTGCTCACTAATGTGTGTAAAGTCATTGTGCTGAAGTGGGATTTCGCATGATACAATACTACAAATGTAGGTACAACCATCTGATTGCATGTTACCACAAAGTATGGTCATGTTTAGCTTGGCTGCTAAAACACAGTAACCCAAAATCAACAAATACCAGGCTGTAAAAAATATTAATTTTCTCAGTTTTAAAAAAAGCATTTAGTCAGTTTTTGCATATTATATATAATTTTGTATAATAAACCTATCCTGTGTGAGCTCAGTATTCTTTGTTCAGCAGAGAAACTGACAACAACTGTGACATGGTTCTGTTGTTGTCCCCAGGGGAGCTTTTGTTTGAGGATTAGTATTAATCATGTTTGTGTGATTCCCGCCAGGACCTGAGGAGGCAACATGATGAGCAAGTGTCTCTTTATAAGGAAGAACTGGAGCAAACCTTCCAGGCCAAGGTGAGAAATAAATAATTTTTTTGTCTTGTCTTTTGACTCTCACACAGTCTTCCAAGGGGAAAAAAAGATTGATTGATTTTTTTAAATTTGCTGTCCTCAAGCTGGAAGATGTGCAAAGAACCCTTTCTCACAGTGTCTGTTTCCTTCTAGCTGGATAATGCCAAGGTGTCCTCTGAGATCAATGACAAGGCAATGAGCACAGCTAGGGAAGAGCTTCAGGAGTCCCGTATGAGAATAGAGAGTCTTGGATATCAGCTGAGTGCTTTGCAGAAACAGGTACTAAATGATCACCTGTACACACAAATGACTTCATCCACATCTCTGACAGTTACAGGTACTCCTATTCAGCTTCATGAATTGTATTCACTAATGTTGGTTGGGTGTGTTTGTGTGTGTGTGTGTGTGTGTGTGTGTGTGTGTGTTTGTGTATTTTTAGGCAGCTGCCTCAGAGGATCGTATCAGAGAGCTGGAGGAAATTCTGTCAGCAGAGCGAGAGAAGCACCGCCGTGCCAACGAAGGAAAAGAACAGGAGATGAGCGAATTGAGAGAGAGGATGAACGCTCAGCTCAGTGAATACCAGGAGCTGTTAGATGTGAAGCTTGCCCTAGATATGGAGATCAATGCATACAGGAAACTGCTGGAGGGAGAGGAGCACAGGTACAACACACCTAAGTTACATGTTACAACCTATTATGTGAAACGGTAGAATGTTGTAAATGAAAATCTGTCCCAGAAGTTTTATTGTGTGTTATCAGTGATAATCTCACATTATGTAATTATGAGAGTGGCTATTATTAGATTCTCATTTGAATAGCAGGAAGTGACTGTCTTTTCTGCTAACTTCTGACAGCTCAGACCCACTGTGTCATGAAGTGGTAGGTAGCCATTAACTTACCTGTGACTGGTGTGCTTCTTTCAGACTGAAGCTGTCCCCCAGCCCATCGTCTCGAGTCAGTGTTTCCAGGATAACAGGATCTTCCTCCTCCCGCTCCTCCAAGAGGAAGAGAGTGGAGTCCAAGGATGTCCCAGAGGTGGGAAGAGGAGAGGGGCAGCTGCTGGTGTCAGAAGAGGCCACAGCTAGTGGAGCAGTCACCATATCACCCACTGACATGGATGGAAATGCAGTCACTCTGACCAATGATACTGAGCAGGTGTGTAAGAGTGGTATAAGACTAATAAAACTCCTGAGGTCTGCAATAAGTTCAGCAAAAAGTGTGTGTGTGTGTGTGTCAATAGGTTCCAGGTTAAAAGATTCTGTACACATGTCTTAAGAATGTCTTGTGCTTTGCAGGACCAACCTTTGGGCAACTGGAGGTTGAAGAGACAGGTTGACAATGGGGACGAGGTCATCTACAAGTTCTCTCCGAAGTTTGTGCTCAAGGCTGGACAGTCAGTCACGGTGAGAAATATGAAGTGGAAGTAAATGTTACAATTTTTATTATTTTTGCTTTGCTTGTATAATTTTGAAGCCAGCTTAAAGGTTCAGTTCATCCAAAACACTTTCACATTTCACTTTTCTC